ATGGTTTTGGTGGAGTGTGACGCGCTGATCCCAGCCCTGGGCAGAGGCTCCTTCGGGCTGCCCTGGAGCGCTGCCCCGTTTGCTGTTGCGCTTCCTTGTTTTCCCCTCTGACCTCCTCCCCTCTCTGGCCACGTGCTCGCGGGCTCCAGCGCTGGGGCTCTGCCTCTCGCAGCGGCCTTTGGCACCCTCCTTCTGCAGCACGCGGCGGTTTTCCTCCTCCCTCCGGCTCCCCATCGCCCACGCAGCGCTGGCCGCGCCCACTCCTTGGGCTGCCATCTCCCGTCGTGCTTTGGGCACGTAGAGGGCCATGTCGGGCTTCCTGGGCCGGGCCCGGCTCTTCTCCCCCTCCTGCTGCATGGTGCCACTTCCACCTGCAAGGGAGAGAGAGCATTCATTCATTGCCACAGCAGCAGTGCTACAGGACCCCCGGGCCGGGCCGACGGGACCGCTGGGCCAGGCAGGCAGTTGGGGGCCTGGGACAAAGTCCCAAACTAAGGCCCTCTCCCTTCCAACCCATCACCATGGAGACAAAAGGGGCCCTGGGGAGGGGGCTGGAGAGCCAGCCTGCCCCACACTTGCCCTGCCGCAGCAGCTCCTGTCCCACAGGCTGGGCCCTGCTGCCCTTCCCTCCCCACGGGGGTGGCCAGGCTGAATTGGAGTGAGTGGTGCTGCAACCCCACAAGCCAGGTCTCTACACCGCTCACTCAAACCCCAGGGCTCCAGGGCCTCCGACAAACTATCCCTCCCCTCCCTGGCCCCGGAGTTATCAAATAAACAAATGGCATGAGCCCCGGAAGCCCTGGATTGCGCAGCACGGCGCCCGTAGGGGGGACACAGCGCACAGACCACAGTGCCAGACACTCTCCCCAGTGCTAAGGTGACTCTGACCTCAGGAAAGGAAGGACTGGGGTGCCCCGAGCAAGGCTAGTTAATATGCCTCCCCCCCCGCCCACGACATACTGCCCCACAGGGAACACGACACTGCGCCACGATGGCGCCAGTCCCCCAGTGAGCCCTTCCCAGCCCAGCTCCCAACTCGGTAACCCCACAGCCTGCAGCTCACTGTAACAGCCAACACCAGGGGCTCAGACCCACAGGCCCCGCTGCTCAGCCCACTACTTTCCTGGAGGTTTTTAAGCAGCACAAGGTTGCCTCCATCACTGCCCATGCCCACTGGGTTACGGGCCTGCGTTTGCAGAGCCACCCGAAGACAATCAGTACTGAGCTCTGCCGGGGCACCTCACCTGCCTGCAGAGCGGGCTCACGAGGGGCCGGGAACGCAGTCGCGCCCGGACAGCGACAGGAGAATGGCGCCCGGGGCTCCACGCTGCCCGTGCCAGCTGGGTTACAGGTCTGCGCTTGGAGAGCCACCGTAAGACAATCAAAAGAACAAAAGAACGGCCGTACTGGGTCAGACCAAAGGTCCACCTAGCCCAGGATCCTGTTTTCTGACAGTGGCCAATGCCAGGTGCCCCAGAGGGAATGAACAGAACAGAGAATCATCCAGCGATCCATCCCGTCGCCCATTCCCAGCTCCTGGCAAACAGAGGCGAGGGACACCATCAGTACGGAGACAATCAGCAGTGAGCTCTGCAGCGTACAGCTCGCCTGCCGGCAGAGCGGGCTCACGAGGGGCCGGGAACACAGCCGCGCCCAGACAGCGGCAGGAGAACGGCGTGCCGGGCTCCCCGCTCCCCGTGGCTCAGCAGCTCCACGGCACGTGTTCGACGTACGAGGGTGGTTTCCGACCTGCCAGCCCCACTGCCCCGCCTGGGGCCAAATTTCCTTCTCATGCCTTGGCCCCAGTGATAGACGCTCTGCCTCTGTCCCCCAATGCCCATGCAGCCCCACTGCCTACAGCGAGCACAGACAGGTGTCACTGACGGGCCCCAGCACCGGGGCTCAGGCCAAGGAGGGAGAGGTTGGCTGGGCTAAGGAGCAAAAAGCAGGAAACTGTTATTAATGTCATTAAGGCGAGAGACGGCCCCAAGCCCCGATCAGCAGAGACGACCCCCCTACCTCGGGGCAGCTCTGCCGAGTAGGAGGTGGCTGGTTTGTAGTCACTGTTCACGGCAGGACCAGCTAAGGACACAGCTGTCCTACTGACACCATCTACAGGCAGAGTCTCCTGTAGACATCAGCTCTGCTGCTAACACGGCCCCACAGATGGTCTCGCAGAGCCAAACACCCCCGGGACATCTGAACGTGCGCGTGCGGAAGCGCGTTCTAATAGCTTATCATTCGGGGTTTGTATTTGCTGGCCTGGCCTGGCGCCGTTCCTCACTGAGGACTACCCTCTTGCCTGGGTTACACGTTCGCTCCGTTTTACTGACCTTTCAAGGGCATTTGGCGCCGTAACAACTGCAGGGCAGTCAAGCTGTCCTGTGTGCAACACCCAGCTGACATCTACCTCAGCTAGCAAATCTCTCTGCCTCTCACCCCCACCCACACCGCAAACAACATTTTCCGCCCTGTGTAGTTACTGGAGGCCTGGGAAGCGTCCCGAGTGTGGAAGAGAGGAAAGACGGAGGCCGTTGAGTGGAGACAGGAGAGGAATAAGAGGCAGGAAGAGACAGATGCAGATGAAGCCTGGGACAGAGCAGGGAGCTCAGGCACCAAGATTTACCTTTCAAGAACAAGAGATTCAGTGGAACTGAGCATCCAGACTTTTGAAGCGGATACAAAGAAACGCTCCTCTGAGAACACACGCTTAGCCAGAGGACCTCAGTGCCACCAGGTACCCCGGGGCCGAGCGCGGGGCGGCTCAGCGAAGGAGCAGCCGTGTAATGAGGCTTCTCACACCTGGCTCTGAAGCAGCAGGTGGGGAGTGCACCGAGCCAGAGCCAGGCCATTTCTACGTAACCATCAGGCAGAAAGAATGAACCTGCTCCTGGGAGTCAAGCGGAAGTAGAATCACAGAGGGGTCACAGCCCAGTAACCCCCAGCCCTTGCGCCCCCAGCCCCTCCACTCCCCCTCTGTCCACCCCACACAGAGCCAGAGGGAGCCTGGCGCTGAGCACACGGAGCTCTCACCAGCACAGCTTGGGGTTGCCTTAGCTTAGGGGCAGGCGAGAGAAACTCAAGGGAACACACTGCAACTTTTCCTCGCAGGCGCCTCCAGCAGTGCACCCCGCCCCCTTCCACAGCCCGTCCCTGGCCTACAGAGCCATCCGTTAGAGAGGTCAGTGAGTAATTAGCTGGGCTGTAATGAAGCTACATTCATCAGCGCAAGAATCAATTCTCTCCTGAACATCTGCGCCTACGAGCCCCTCTCTGGCAGCACCTTCCCTGCTCTCTGCCATCTGCAGAGGCAGCACCCAGACACGCTCAGTCTCTGCCCTGCCCCTTAGCCAGGGCACGGTGCGATCTGGGGCACACGTAGGGTTGGCGAGCGCACACCCAGGGTGCACAGCCCTCCCCTGCCAAGCTGGCACATTCTCCGGTAAGCAGCCGTGGCAGAGCAATAACCACACATGGCGATCCCATGCGAGGAGCAGAGTGCTGCAGAGGAGCCATTTCCCAGCCAGGAAGGGTCACTACCCCATTGTACTGATGGGGAAACTGAGGCAGCCACACACGACCGACCCAAGGTCACAGAGCGACGCTGTGGCAGAGCTGGGAGCAAACCCAGGAGTCCCGACTCCCTGTCCTGTGCTCCAACCACTAGCCCACGCTGCCTGCAGCTTGGCCACGCAAGGTGGCGGAGCCCTGCTCGCCCGCTGCACCTTCCTGGCAGAGATTTATTTTTCATAATCTTTGGCACAAAGAAGCGCCTTGCTATCTGCCAGGCCCCAGACCCCTATCAATATGCATCAGGCAGTGTTTATGGAGACGGATGGCTCAGGGGTCTGTCCTGTGGTTCGGGGGAAGGGAGCGTGGGGGAGGGGCGTGGCCTTGTGATTAATCACTGCCCACTCTGTTTAGGGGTATCCATCACAGGCCGCTGTCAGGTAAATCACTGGAAAAACACCTCTCCAGTAATTAATGTGAAGTGACGGATGGACAGCTCCCGGGCCCATTAATCTGGAACCTCAGAGCCGCCCGAGATTACGAACGTCAGGATGCAGAAACTGCCGGCGGATCAATAGGGCCAGGAATCCATCCAAGGTTCTCATTTCCGAGGCACCTCCGGTGCATTAGGCTCCTTCCCCTGCCCCCCGCCCCAACTGAAAACGGATCCCTCCAGAACCAACAGCAGGCGCCGGGGGGCTGGCTGAAGAGGGGCAGGAGTGTGCCACTGCCAGCTCTGGCCAGGGCCCCGGAGCAGCTCCCAAGGGCTCCTGGCAGGGTCCCCGTCCCACTTTACATGCAGCACAGACAGTCCTCTGCCCACCTCTCACGGCTCCACAGTGAGAACAGAGCAGAGCGCATGGGGCCAGCGCTCCGGGGCTGGAGGGGAAGGGCAGCTTGGCTGCACTCCTCGGGCTGGCAGTGCCGGGAAGGCAGGCGCACACCCACAGCAGGCCAAACCTCAGGTGCACTTTGTGGTCGGGCCTCAGCCACGGCCCAATTGTCGGTTAGAAAGTGTCCCAGCTGCAGGGCCGCCTGTTCCGCCAAATCTCATTCCATCCTGCTGATGGATGGATGGATGGATGGCCGGCCGGCCGGCCGCCTGGGGAAAGCAGCGCTTGCAGACAGCTCCCCTACAGCCTGTGTGATGGATGAGTCTCTCAAGGCTCTCCCCAACCTGCCGGCACTCCAGGCCCCAGGAGATGGAGACACGCTCAGGCACAAACACCCAGCCCCCTTTGCTCACGCCAGTGGCCAGCCCAGCCCCCGGCAGTCTCGCCCTTCCCAGAGGGACCCCCATCCCCACGCAGTGCAGTGACCGCCAAAGGACTCTGCGACTGTCGTGCTGCTGAAAGGTACCGGGGCACAGCCCTGCGGGTGGAAGCCCACGTGACCCGCCGTGCCCAGCGCTGAGCTGGAGGAAGGGAAGGGAGCTCCGTCTCTGGCCTCCACCCACGCCGTTTGAACTTTCGTCCGGGAGTGCCAGCGAGGGGGCCGTTAGTGCCGGCTCTCCGGGGGTTTGGGCAGTGGGCACACATTCCACCACCCCTGCAGCAGCCGGAGAGCATCGCGCAGGGGACCAGACAGCAGCTAGCTACGCGACAGGGAAGGCTCCATGTCCCACTTTAGCGCTGCACAGAACGAAGGCAGCCGGCCCATGCAGGACGGGCCCTGAAGCAGAGGACTAGAAGCCGGCCCCTTTGTCTAGCCAGAGATACGCATGCAGCCTGTGTCATTCCACTGGCAGAATGGTCCCTTTCTTTCTCCTGACTGCCTAGAAGCCGCCCACAGCCTGGGTAGGTCATTTCTCAGCACCAAGGCAGGATCCTGAAGGGCAGCTCAGGGGAGGCGGCGGCGCTGG